GCCCCCCCACCCCCCCCCCCCCCTGTCCGCAGAGGGGGGGTTGGGAGAGAGCACCCCCCTGAAATGATGGCAGATAGCACGGGAAGCAATAGCATCTTTGCTATCTGCAGGGGTTTTTTTTGTGTTTTTTTTTTAGTATTCTGACAGTTGCAGTCGTCAGAATAATAAAAAAAATGGATAGGAATGCATAGCTAGATTCCTATTGGCTATTTCACTTTGCAATAGTAAACTATTGCACCTCCCCTCTGCTGCTTTCAATCACCAGAAGAAGACCTGATAGAAAACTTCAGGTCCCCCTCTGCTGATTGACAGCAGCAGAGGGCGGGTGCATTAGCTAGTTTGCGATTGTAAAGTGCAATAGCCAATAGGAATCTAGATATGCATTCTTATGCCTTTTTTTTTTTTTTTTTACTGACGGGGGGCCGCGGCTCCCGATGTCAGAAAAGAAAAACAAACGATCGCAGGGAAAGGTTTACTTTATATAGTGATATAATTTATACTTTGTGTTTAACCTCCTTGGCAGTATTCCCGAGTGTGGCTCGGGATTAATTTTTAGTACCATAAGCGGTAACCCCGAGACACACTCGGGATTACAGCGTAGCGTCTCTTACCTTGTCCACGATCCCCAATGTGTCCTCCGGCCGATGCCGGCATCCATCTTCCGGTTTACGTCCCCTGCGAGCGTCCGCTTTGCAGGAGGGCGGAACTGGCGGGAATTTTAAAAGGAAAAAAAAAGGAAAAAAAATAATAATCATAGCGCCAGGGAGGTTAATATCCACTATCCATTCCCTAACTCATTATTATAGTAATATTAATCTCTTTAAAAGGGAGAAAAAAAAAAGAGAGAAAAAAAAGGAACCCACAAATAAATTTAACCAAAAACCACTTGTGTGTGTAAATAAGTGTATAAGGCCATAGAAATATTTGCCAGGTGAAATATTGTGCATATAATACTCAATAAAATATACAAAATATACCAAAAACATGTGTACTTATAAATAAGTGCTTAAGTCCAGAGCAAAATCTGTCTGGCATAGAAAAAAAGTGCTGTAGAGAAAAAAAAAAAGTTTTGATAAATTCCTCTCTCGCTGGTAGACAACACATGGACATTTTTTTTTTAAAAGTACTTTCTTAAGGGCTTAATAGAGGACTATTTGCAATTCATCACTTTTTCACTATAAAAGATCTAATGGATTCAGCCCACCTATGTAAGAACCTTTTATCGAAAGCTTTCAGATGCCACCAAATCTCACCCTTGTTTTATGATCACACGTAAACCAGGGACGTGCAGTTCAGGGGAGGCAGGTGAGGCAGAGCCTCACCTAGAATTTTTGGGGAAAAAGCTGTCAGCTTCATGTCTGAAGCTGACAGCTTTTTCTCCATTCAGATTGGCATCCAACAGGTTACACAGCAGGGAAATCCTCCCCGCTGTGTAACCTGTCACGGAACCTAGCGGTGAGGAGCAAGTGAGGGACAGGGAGGCTCCTCCGTCTCCTCCCTTCCTCCTTTACACTACCTTGGAGACGGGATGGGACGGGGCTTCTGCCGGCAGGGGCGGGGCTCAAACATGTCAATGGAATTTCAAAAGGAGTCTTCATATTGTTTCAGCAGCTTTCAATAAAATATCTGGCAATCCTGCCCAGTGATAAGCATGGACCAGGGCTGTGGCGGACATTTTCCAAAGTACAGACCTTAGTGAAGGACACCGAGGTACATTTCAAATTAAAACCATCAAAAAACACTCTAGGGGTATTTATCAAAACTAGAGCAAACAAAATCTGGAGCAGCTGTGCATGGGAACCAATTAGCTTCTCTTTTCAGTTTGTTCAGCTACGCTTTGAAAAAGAAAGAGATGCTGATTGGCTGCCGTGCACAATTGCTCCAGATTTTGTCTGCTCCAGTTTTGATAAATTCCCTTCTCTGTCTAGTCTTGACGTTGGACCCCAGTGTCGGGCCCCTATCAGCCTTGGGCACCAGCTGCTTGCTGCTGTCCTCTGCAAATGCTCCCCCCAAGTGGGCCCCTGCCCCAGCCTTGGGCACCAAACTGCTGCTGTTCCCCCCAGAGGTCTGCTTACTTTTCCACTCCATGAACAGCAGTTTTGCTCCACTCTTGCCTTGTTCTCAGTGCTCTTTGCTTCAGCCAGCTAAAAAACAAGCCCCGCCCCCCAAAGGAGGAAAAAAAAGCCTTCTTGCACATACACAGCACAGGAAGGTACCAATTGTATGGGGGAGGCCCAGCCGGGACCCTACCAAGTTCTGCACTGTACACCGCAGCGGACCTTGCAAGGATCACTCACGGACACCAGTGTCCATGTACGGACACCTTGCTGATCCCTGATCCTGCCATAAAGATTCTTCTCCAGGCACTTCCTTTTATAGGGTGACAACACTGTGCCCCTGTCTCTCAGTAGTTCTCCTGCATTTTCACCCTTTCACATGCTCCCCAATGGAAACTAGAAGCAGCCATGCCAATGCACATTACACAGTCATGGTCCACTGTTGTCCTGAGAAAAACCAAGCAGCAGTCACTGGATTAGACAGGTAGTGGCTAGTTGGCTACAAGAGATCAGCAGTGTTGTTATGCAACAGGGGATGAAAAAAGGTGAAAACACATATTTTTTATATGGCAATTGTTTATGATACACAGTACTTTAGGGAACGGCATGTCATTTAGCTTGTGTGTACTATAAAGTTCAAATAAACTTTCTGTTTATATCAGCAAAATACATTCCAGATGCAACAAATGAAAAGCTGTGCACATTCTTACACTGCGTTTTCTTTAGAAAAGCAGCCACGTCCTGAGTAAATAGCCTGTCCCCTGCCAGCATGCTGCAGAGAAAGACCCTTGCTGCGGACGCTTTCTAAGGGCGCATTCACACGGGTGCTAGGACTGCTGCATCCAGATGCAACTAAATGCGTCCAGTTTCTATGCAGCCTGAACTGCCAGCCCTGTCTGCAATCAAAAAGGCCCTAATCATATGTAACCACTTTTGAGAGCAGTGGCCCTGGCAAGTGATTTGTACAGGGTGCATAGGGTGATGTTTTAGCTTTTTTCCCATATGAATGAGCCCTAAGGGCCAGTTCACTCCAATTGCGGTGCGTTCCAGAGCGGTAGCCGCTGAAACGCACAGCAATTGCTCACAAAACTTCCCCCTTCGTTCTAGGGTGGGAGGGGTCACTGACACCACAGCCTTGTGCTAAATTAATGGGACCCGTGCACTGAGCACACACTGCTGCACAGCATCACATGCTAGGACCGCTGTGTTGCCATTCATTAAAATGGGAACCCAAAGCAGCTCTTCAGTTGCTGTGCATTACAAAGCACACCAATACCATGCACTGCAGGAAAAAAGTAATGCATGCACAACTTTTATTTCCGATGCACGGTATCGCACAACAATGCATGGATGCCGAAAGGTGCAAAGGGGTGCCAATCAAATGAACTGCAATGCACCAGCACACCTAGCATGCAATGCAATCTTCAATGGTGTGAAAAAGCCTGCAGAAAGGAAAATCCATTTCACCCACAGTGTCCCCCATTATACTGTCCTCTGCCTCACCCCCCTCATTATACTGTCCTCCTCCTCACTCCCCCATTATACTGTCCTCCTCCTCACTCCCCCATTATACTGTCCTCCTCCTCACTCCCCCATTATACTGTCCTTCTTCTCAACCCCCATTATACTGTCCTCCTCATACCCCATTATACTGTACTTCTTCTCTTCCCCCCATTATACTGTCCTCCTCATTCCCCATTAAACTGTCCTCCTCCTCATTCCCCATTATATTGTCCTCCTCCTCATTCCCCCATTCTACTGCCCTCCTTCTCACCCCCATTACATCCCTCAGATCCTCTTCCTACCAGTCCTCAGGTTCCTTCTCCTCCCCCCTGCCTCAGTAGTACAACACGCTCTCTCCTCTGAGCCCCCTCCGCCCCGCTCTGTTTACTACACTCAGCACTACACTCAGTCAAAGGCTACATGCACAGCCAGGATTCCTCAATGGCGGATGACACTCCTCCCACTATGGACGCCGTTTCCTAGTTACCCGTCCCACCCACGGCCACCTGAGCCAATCCACGTTTTACTCCTTGTATCCCCTGAGCACGTGCGGCCCGGTCCTTCTCTGACCGGGGAGCAGACAACGCCCGCTTCAAGCTCGGATTGGACCTGGTGAACCTGGGCGTGGTTGTCGGCTTTAAATCAGAGGGCAAGCCCCGCCTGTTTAGTGAAAAGCGCTCATTCCGCACGTACAGAGGTGTATAGGACTGGCGGGGGTTGGAGAGCCGTATACATACACGTAGCTATATAGGAGGACATGTATACAGCTGGTGAGACAGGCAGAGCAGGAAGCTGTGATCCCAGCACGCTGCCTTGTTCTGTATATAGACCGCTATGTACATGTGCCCCGCTATACTCCTACTGAAGACTGAGCTCATCCTAGCCTAGTGCTAGTCACTATTCATTGCACTGGGAGATTCTGAACTTGCTGCAAGTGCTGACCTACATTGTGAGACCCATGGACTGGATCTCCTCATCACCTTCCCAAGTCATGCCTCTCAAACATTGCCCATCTGTGGACCTTGAGAAGCTGGCCCTGCAGCACATTGTGCCTCAACTGTGCTCTGTTGGCTACTGTTACCTGGACAACATCTTGGGAGAGGAGTTGGGGGACCAGGTACTGGCCCAGGTGAGGCGCTTGCACGAGGAAGGGGCGCTGAAGGATGGCCAGTTAGCGGGGAATGTACGAGGCGTCTCCAAGCAGCACCTGCGGGGGGACAAGATTACGTGGATCGCTGGCACTGAAGAAGGATGTGAGGCTATTGGACTTGTCCTCTCGGTTATAGACCGACTTGTGGTGTTGTGTGGAAGCCATCTGGGCCAGTACTATGTGAAGGAGAGGTCCAAGGTGAGACCCTCTTCTCATACTGGCTGTCTCCATCATCCTGGAGCCTACAACCCATCTCAGCCTGTTGCACGTGTATCTTTTGTGGAACATTTTCTTTTCTGTCTTAGTACATTTTATATTTCAAAAACAAAAGTGCAGTCAAAGCAACAAAACAAACCACATCATTACTTTGCATTCACTAGCTGCCTAGGCGTTCATGTACCCATCCTGTTGCCAAGGCAGACTCTGCTTTTCAAGTCTGACCACTGCCATTAGTTGGGTCTTGTTTGATGTGTTTGGGTTTTTTTTTTCTCTTAATATGCCTGCTTGGTTCATGTTTTGCCTTTCATCTACACGGCCCTCCATTGCTTCCTCTTACATCTCTTCCCTGGATCACACCCCTTCTTGCATCCTCCCTTTCCTCCTGACAGCACTTCTTATGCTCCTGGCCTTGTGCTAACTTTGGTCTGTACTTGCATGCAATAGGAACTACTAGATCCAAGCTTTCCCATACCTCCTGGATTAATTGCATGCACATTCTGGACTTTGCTCCTGTATTCACTGTTATCTTAGATCACCACAACTTTAATGTTCTTATCACTCTCATTAAGCTCTGATTTAACATATTAGGTTAACTCTTATTGCTGTCTTTCATCTGTATTCCCTCTCCTCCATTAATGTGCCCACGTCAGGAAAGTTTCCACATAGTATTCACATTTGGTTGGACTTGGGCTGTAGTATGGAAGATACTATATAGTATCTACTACTAGATGTATACTACTACACAGGTTATCTAAGCATCTTCCTCGGTTCCGATTAGAGTCTGAAACATACCTGGAATTGAGTGACCTGTATGCATATCAATGATGGGGTATGTTCCTGACGCCCATTAGAACTGGAGAAGCTGCAAAATGTCTTCAAGTACAATTCCAATTGACTGTGACTAACTTCTAGCTAGTAGAAAGACAGGTCACCAGCACCCGAGATAATTTAAATGGATTAGTCCTGGACTGCTGTAAGGTGTGCGGAGAGCACCCTCACCAACTGTAACTTCTAGCTAGGTCATGACCTAGGCCCCTCTGTCTGCGATTCCACTGAATACTATTGTTCTGCCCGCTTTGGTTAGCAGGGCCACCCACTGTTAGAATTCACAGGAATCGGCTGAAAATAACAGTGGGTGGCCCTGCTACCGACTCCTAGCTCAACAGATCTCGATTTAAAAATACGAAGAAGCCAGAGCGCTAATTTCTCGGCTGAACAGTGACTGCAGCCAGTAAGATGCAGTCTGCTCGGGTATTCTGACAGCCACGGTTGTCTAAAATACAATAGCTGGCAGTAGAGAGCCCCCCGTTTATGCTGTTAAGAATGGATGGGGAAATCAATTAGATTTGTCATGTTTATCCCGACATGGCTGGACAAGACAAATCTAACGGTTATTCACAAAAGGGTCAACAGTTTAGAGAAGTGAACAATCAAATTTTCTCAATTCAGCTCACTTTCCAATTCAGTTGTGTTGTCCTAGCTTGTTCACTTCTCCAAACTCTTCACCCTTTTGTGAATAACCCTGTTGGTGTATAACCAGCTTTGCTCTGGTCACTTCATACATACTGATGTTCCGTTACCTGTTTTCTACAAGCATACTATAGTCGTACCTAGCTCATACTACATCTGTGTATTGTATTAAAGGTCTGTTTACCTCTAGTTTAGTGGTGTATTAGGTATTGACCATTTTTTAACCCTTTGCCCTAAATAATTGCACCCAGTGTTGCACTACATGCAGAAGTTTTTCCTCTTTACTTGAATCCCAGCTTTAGACTTCACTCGCAATCTGATTATCCAGTGAAATGCCAACACCTTCCATAAACCTTTGCTCCATAACCTTTTACTGTCCTTGCTTCTTAATGAGCAAGGTAAGACTCAAAGCATACAAACAATAACGGAGCTTTGTATTCTGCAGTACAGTTTAGAAGCCTTGAACCAAAAGGCATTGGCCCCAATAATTCTAGGATTCAGTAACTGCAATGTCCCCAGTTCAGTTGACGACTCGGTAAATAACGCTCTTACTCCGCCACGGTTAGATTTAAAAACAAGATATTGTTGCCCTAAAAGAGATCAAGGCTTTGAAGTTTGACTTTAAATCCAAGGTAAAACTAAACCTTTACAGCTGTGGGGTTCCCATGTATTACTGTTCAACATTTCTTAAGCGTCAAATCATAGCAGTCAAACATTTACTTAAATGGTGTGACTCGAATAGACCAAACTAAAATAACTGGCCACTTTCTACTGCTTTTGTACCTGCAAGTCCCTTGCAAGGTTGTAGACCAGCTTGAGGGAACCTTTGGTGACTGATGTCTTCCCAGAATGCTTAGTTATCAGAGTGCAGACCATTCTGGGATTTGTAGTTCACATAAACTGTTGTATATTCTTGCTTTCTAGGAACTGAAAGGTCAGATCTATTTTTATTTTCCAGGCAATGGTAGCTTGTTATCCAGGCAATGGAACCGGGTATGTGCGACATGTAGATAATCCAACACAAGATGGACGCTGCATTACATGCATCTATTACCTGAACAAGAACTGGGATGCAAAGGTAGGTTCCCAATTATCGTCTGGCCTGGGAATCACTCTGCATCCTAAAGAGACAAAATACTTGATGGAACTATTAGACCTAGAGTAGCTTTAGATGCTTAATGCTGAAGTTCTGCAGTCTTGGCTGTCGACAAGGGATGCAGGAGAGCACAGCAGATGTTCCTGGGACTAATCTGTTACTTCAAAACCTAATCGGCTCTTCTCAGTTTAACGTCCAGGTGGAAAGCAGACACCTATAGGTTTTCTATGGTCAGATGGAAAAAGTGCAACATATTCCTCCATCTACGCTAAACTGTGTGGATGGAGTAATCTCCCGCTGGGCCAAGCTTCAGTATCTTGCTAGTTGGCCCCGCTGGCTCTCAAAATATCTGAACAATCTGATTGGATGCAGGCATTGTTCAGGTAATTTAAAATGGCTTTATTTTTATATATTGCCTTGCTGTCATTGAAAACATATACATTATTTCCCATGGTCAGTTCCTCTGTAAGGGACCTTTATTTTGTTTTGGCTCATGGAGGTGTTCTGATTCACTCTGTAACCTCTTTGGTGTATCTGTTGCAGGTTCATGGGGGGATTCTGCGAATTTTCCCCGATGGCGGCTCAGATGTTGCGGATGTGGAGCCACTCTTTGACCGGCTGGTTTTTTTCTGGTCTGACCGTCGCAACCCACACGAGGTTCAGCCTTCCTATGCTACCAGGTAAGCCCCAGCTCATAGGACACAGTGATATACAACTGTCATGTTATTTCTGCAAGATCTGTAATGGTTATCCTTCTGCATCACAGGTATGCTTTGACCGTCTGGTACTTTGATGCCAAAGAACGAGCAGCTGCTAAACAGAAGTTCAAAAGATTAAGTGGTAAGTTGCTAAAGACTGCTATTTGAAACATGAGCAAAATCTGTATATTTTGTTTACATTGTTAATAGAGCGGAGAAGGACTTTATTGCTGTCTTTGACCCATTGAGAGGTTTCCTGTCACCAGTCCCAACGGCACCTATATTGTTGCTCGGAGCTTAAATTCCTGTTTTGTCTTGGGTGGAATTTGCTTATATTCATTTTGGAGAATCCACTAGTGAGAATGTCATCACCTCCCAGGTAAATCGCTGAAAGGAATAAATAATGGACTAAAGAGGAGAGGGGAAACAGGTAATTCAATCCATTCGCTAGGTGTCACCAGCCCAGGAGGCACGGAGGGATCTCCCCAGTCACCAGCCCAGGAGGCGCGGGGAAATCTCCCCAGTCACCGGCCCAGGAGGCGCGGAGAAATCTCCCCAGTCACCGGCCCAGGAGGCGCGGGGAAATCTCCCCAGTCACCGGCCCAGGAGGCGCGGGGAAATCTCCCCAGTCGCCAATCGGACAGCTCAAAAATTTTCAGAGGACCGGCACATCCCCACTCTATCCAATAAGTTTTTGTCTGGAGATTCACTTTTAATGAAAAACATTACCTTTTTTTTAATGAATGTAAAAATGAACTTCTATTTGCTCCCGTTAGATCTGTTAAATAAAAAATTGAGAGAATTCTATTTCTGTTTGATAATGGTTAATCCTGCCAGAAATTTGGTGAGCTTTTTGTACTCTGCCTCTGCTGACAGTTATCAGTTAAAGGAGAACTATGGGGTTAAGTCTTTTCCCCAAGGTTCTCCTTAGGGTAACGGGAGGACACAAACTAGCGTCCTCCCGTCACCCTAGGCTGTAGCTCGCGGTATACTGAGACGCTGAAGCGGATCCCGACAATTGTGCCGGGATCCGCCCAGCTGCGTGACTGACAGCTGGCTCTGCCTATCTAGAGGCAGAGCCAGCTGTACCCGCCCCTCCCCCGTCCGTTCCGCCAGTCAGTGCTGGCGGATCGGAACGGGGAGGGGGGAATCAACCTCTCCCCTGTCACGGTAGAGAGCCGTGACAGGATCGAGAGGTGAGCGAACGCCGGTATGTGTTCGCCCACCTCCCGATCTACTGAGCCGACCTGTGACAGTCTCATTGTCGCAAGTCGGCTAGAACTATGAGGTGAGTGGAAATCACTCGCCTCATAGTTCTCCTAAGTGGACTCATCCTTTTAGTCCCCTTTAATGGACATCACTGCTCCCTCCCAATGTACAGATGAATACTTAGAGATCCAACGGGCCCAGCCTCAGTTGATTGCTTACATCCTGCAGCGGTCCTCTCCTCCTCTTGGTTGTGCCTGTGCAGTACATCCCCATCGACTTCTATGGAGTTTGTCTGTCTCTCAGCCGAGAGATGGGAGTTAGACGAGCCACATAGAAGTCAATAGGGATGTACTGTGCAGGCGTGGCCAGGAGATGTCTGCCGTAGAATGTAAATAATCAGCGGAGGCCAGGCCCGTTGGAATCTGGTGAGTATTTATGTCACGCGGCACAGGGAGGGAGGGATCGCTGATGTCCCTTTAAGCCTGAATTCACACCTGTGCGTTATGGAAAAGCGTGGCATGTTCGTGTGTGGCATTCGCCGCGTGTCACCATTGAGTTCAGTGGGGCCTGAATTCTTGACAAATGTGGCAAAAAAGCTCATGTAGCAAATTTTGTGACATGCATTCCGTGTGTTTGGTTTCCATGTCTGTACACGTTTTAATGCACACAAATGCGGAGGAAAAACGCACATCTTCCTGGCTGCATTTGGCTTGCCATTACAAATGAATGGCAATGCAAGGGTGTTTTGCGGTTTCTATTTCTGTAGACGGCATTAAATTCCATACCACACTTATCTTGGAAGTCAAAGGTTAAGGTGCCCCTATATAGCCTAATGCGAGAGAAACGCAAGAGCGTCTGTATGGCAGTTAATACTTTATTAGGATAAGCAACAGATATTTCTTTCCACAATCATTAATGTATTCTGGGATTTCTAGGTGTTAGCAACTCATTAGATATACTGTGAAATCAACATCATGTGAAGTGTTTTAAAACTTAAAAGGAGAACTGTGAGTGATTTTTCACTCCACCTCATAGTTCGGGGCCGACGTGCGACAATGAAACTGTCACATCGGCTCAATTGATCGGGAAGTGAGCGAACACATACCATCGCTCGCTCACTTCTCGATCATGTCCCTGCAGAGAGCCGTGACTGTCACTCATGGCTCCCTGCAGGGATTCTCCCGCTCCGATCCTTCAGTGCTAACTGGAGGAACGACCGGGGGAGGGGGCTTTGCCTCTGGATTGGCAGAGCCAGCTGTCAATCACGCAGCTGGGTGGATCCAGACTTGTAATGTCGGGATCCGTCCCGACTCTGGCGGTCCCAGTATACCGCAAGCTGTAGCTTGTGGTATACTGAGCTTTTGGTTGTGGGAGGACGCTAGTTTATGTCCTCCCGTGACTCTTAGGAGAACTATGGGGTAAAGCGCTTACCTCCTAGTTCTCTAAGCTTGTGTCCTTGGCACAAAATAATTATTGGCAGGCTGTAGACTAAACAAAACCACACGTTTCCAAACCAAGTATACAAAAGGAGAAAATACACAGCTCTGAGTGTCCACAATATCTTTGCCACCATCGATGCATGGCAAAGCATGTGTTTTTGTGTGCGTTTGGTGTGTTCACAGAAAGCGCAGATGTAAATACGGCCTAAAGGGGACTTAAAGAGCATATTCTTTTTAACGTGCGCTCATCCTTAACTTTCATCAGTTTAGATATTTTGTTTAATATAGTGTCGGAAGGACTGCCGTTGTCCATGGCAACCAGTCGGCTTCTGTTCCCCCTCCCCCCCAAAACAGCTTTGAACAATGTAACATTCAAAATCTGACTAAGTTTCAGTTGCGACAAAAGGAATTTTATTCATTTCCTCCTGTAAGTGGCTTTGGGTACCTATAATTTGCACGTTGCTCTTCAGCTGTAAATAAAGAACCGGTCTTTCTGCTTTTGCTGAACCCTGTAACTCATTAAAGATCATTCTATAGCTGTATAATCTCTCCCCACATGACTGTAGGACATAACTGAACTTTAGTCGTCCTCCTCTCGGTTTTAGTCTCACCGACATTCTGGGAATTCAGGAGAGCAGTGAGAACTTGAAGCATTCTCGTGTAGATGGATTGAGGCTCACGAATGGCCTCGTATAGCTGATATTTATAGAAGTGTGGCAGCACTTCTCAGCTCAGAGATCTGCCTTGTAGAAGCATCCAGATGTGTCAGCTTGTATGTGTGTTTCCTGGTCAGTGAAAACATGTGCAGTGTGTGACTGTGTACGTGTGTGACACTGTGTACGTGCCGGCCTGTATGTCATGGGAGGAGCCCCACTCTGTAAGTTTATCACCCTTCCAGTCACAAGCTCTTTGGTGATTAAAGCAGGCAGGAAGCTATCCTTATCAGAGGTCACAATGTCCCCTTATAGCTAGGGAACGTACACATTTACATTCATTCAGCCTTCTGTTGCCAAGGCCGTATCGGATGACAAAGTATGTCAAATTATAGTTGCATAGGTTGAAAAAAAGACCATGGTGTTCAATCTATAGATGTGAGGAAGGATTATTTCCAGGTGCCATTCACACGCTATACACAGCTGTACACAAGCGTAGAGATCTTCATTGCAGCCATGTGACTGTTATTTGTAAGTCTCATTGGATTCAGCTGACAATCATTTTTTTTTTTTTTTAAATCAGGTTTATCCTGGTGTCAGCAATTGTGAATTGAGCCTTGTCACCCTGTTACCTCTGCCATGTTATTTGGGGGGTACCCTACAGCTACGTATTAGGATAACATGTCTTTGTAGGTCACGTCCTAGTAAGGCCTCATTCACATGAGAAAAGGCCGGCACGTACAGCTCTGTGCTGCGTGCACGGCAGTATCGGGCAGCTCCCGGGAAGGACAGGTGCGTGTGATTTAGTATGCAGCCCCTGTCCTTCTCTATGGGAGTACGTGGCCGTATGCTGCCCTACGCTCACCCCAAGTGCAGGTCCGTACGGGTGCAGGTGTCCCGGCTCGGATGCGACAGGATCCATCCTGTCAGTGTAGGGCAGTGTACGGTCGTGTACTCCCATAGAGAAGGACCGGGGCTGCGTACTACCGTAACAGCTGAGCGATACGGGCGTGCACGGAGCTGTACGTGCCGGCCTTTTCTCGTGTGAATGAGGCCTAATGCTGGATTACAATTCTGTATACCAGATCTGCTCGCTGCCCTCCCTGAAATGATATTTCTGCTAAAAGGCCTCATACACAATGTATAGCAGGGGTAGGCAGATCCAGCTATGGTGTCACTACAAATCCCATCATACCTATGGGACTTGTGGCTGTCAGATTTCCAATGCCTCATGGGACTAGTGGTTCCACAATAGCTGGTGGGATGGGTTTGCTTACCTATGGTGTGTAGTGCTGATAATTGTTACTGTTTAATTCAGTGTTTTTTTTTTTTTGAGAGCCTATCATTTTTACCTTAAGACCCCGTTCACATATAGCGACATACCTTTTGCAGCGGCCGGGATAGCGCGACTTTCGGGGCGACGGTAGCGCGACCTTCTCCGTCGGGCTCCATAGAAAAAAAGCAAAATCCGCCGAAAAAAGGGTCCGGTAGAAGCGACCGCGACGAGCGACATGGAGTTAAGACAGCTCCATTGAATAGCATTGGCCGGCAACTTCTCGCGATATCGCGCGGCAAAAATGCGCGATATCGCGCGACAATTCGCTATATGTGAACGGGGCCTAAAGGAGAACTATGGGGAGAGTGAAATACACATCACCATAAATGGAGCCGGCGTGGGACACTGCAGCTGTCACACGTCGGCTCTATAGATCAAGAACTGAGTGATCACATAACGCTGATTGCTCAGTTCACGATCTTGTTCCTGCAGAGAGATGTAAAGTTTTTATAGCGTGCTCCTTAGAGAAAAGACGTGCGACCGTACAGTAGTAGGCTCTAGAGGGGCAGAGCCAGCTGTCAGTGGTGGGGGGGGGGGTTGGATCCTGACAATTGTCAGGATCCTTTCCAGCTGCACCATGACTCTACACTGTTGGCATATAGCAGTGGATGATGAGTTTTGTAAATGTAAATGTCCTCCTGTGACCCAAAAGAGAACAAATGACAAAAAAGGTTTGGCCATAGTTCTCTTTTTTTTTTTAAAATAGGCACAGTTACATGTTCACTTATTATTAGAGTATGCAACCTCTAATTTGTGTGTTCACTTTAATTTATTACCCAGTTATATAGTTGTTGGACGTGTGTGTGTGTCAACAGAAAATACTTGTCTAACTTATTAACCAATGTTAGGGAAAGGTGTATATAAAATGATACTGTACATCGAGTAATGTTTTTCCATATTCCATTCCACTGCCTTCTTCACTAGAGCTGCCCATACACTGGTAGATTTTTATCCGAGCGTTCATATGAAAAATCTCTTTAGAACATTCAATAATGTTATCAGAGACTTGATGAATGTCCTTCAAAATCAAAAGTTAAAATCAAATGACATTTTGGAGTGAGTTTCCTAAATAAAAAAAACCACATTCCCTGCTAGACTATTGATTTTTGAAGATAAATTCTCCATCCTGCTCCGGGGTTTTTTTTCCTTTTTACTAGTCAAAAAACTTAATGTAGCCACATTCATTCTTAGAAAAAAAAATGTTTTCAGAGCATTCATGTGTTCTGACTTGTTTAAGGAAATAACTTTATGCAGTAAAATTCATGTTTCACTGCATAAAAAAAAGAACCAAGTAGAAATCTCATTAATTCCTCTGACTTCACATTTGTGTGGTGCAGATTATTGTAAAGCATCACACATTGTGTATGGGTTTTAGGGTCTGTACCCATTCATTTCTAATGGGCCCCAACACCCATCTATGCAGTAAACAATGCACCTGACTAGGGCTTCAACCAACTAATCGATAATGAGAATAATTGTCAACTATGATTATCGATTAGTTGGTTGGATCCCCTAGCTCTCAACACTGGGAGGAGGGCACAGCAAGCAGTGGGCGGGTGCAATAGCTAGCCTTCTATTGGCTATTGCAATTTGAAATGGACAATAGCAGGCTGGCTATTGCACCAGCCCAGTACCTGTAGTACTTGCATTCGGCTGCCGTCTGTGGAATCTTGTCACTGGCAGCTGTCATTTCCTGGCTGAATCTTTTCCAGTGCCACGTGCTTACAATATAATTAAAATATATATATCTATCTATAGATATAGATATATATAGATATTAGTGGAAAAGTCATTTTTGGTTTTGGCCGACAAATTCTGCTGTGGGAGGTACGTTGCGGTGCCATGAAATGCCAATGGACCCCAAATGCATCTGCCACCCACAGTGTGATCGCCCACACTGGAAGGCGCTGTACCTCAATGCTGTGCATTCCAGTGCAATTGCAAAAAATTGTGCATGCAGCTTTATTCTGAAGTAAACTTTGTAACACTGCATTTGTGTATTTTATTTAAAATTAAGGATGGTATTTACATTTTATTTCATCAGATTTTGATCGAAAAAAAATCGGCCAACTAATCGATTTTATGAAAATCAGTTGCAGCCTACACTTGCCCCTTTAATGCACCACAACACACACACACACACACACACACACACACACACACACACACACACACATCTATGAAAACATATGAGCTGTGCAACACATGAAAAAATGTGCAGCACTATGCAAAATGCAATGTTTCTCATAATTCACTAACAAGAAAGGTGTATCTGCATCAGTGTACAAGGGCCCTAATATTTTGTTTGGTATGATAAAACGTGCCTGGAATGATGGTTGAGCAGTATGATTAACACTGGTTCCCGAGTTCATCACGTCTATATACATTGGGGGGAATTTATCAAAACTGGAGCAGACAATCTGAAGCGGTTGCCCATAGTGACCACTCCGCTTCTATCTTTCTTTCTCAAAGCTCAACTGAACTAATTGAAGATAAACGCTAATTGGTTGGCATGGGCAACTGCTCCAAATTCTGTCTGCTCCAGTTTTGATAAATACTCCCCATTATTATGACTGCACAGCCACAGAGATAAAAAATGTACATGGTTCACAGCAGTTTTTTGTTTTGTTTTGTTGTTTCTTTCTATATTTGAAGTCTGACATTTTGCCTCTTTCCTTTTTAACCCAGAATCCATGCAGGATCCTCCTTCCACGGACAGTTAAATGTCTATCACATAAGAATATGGCATGTTTGTGTGTGTGTGTGTACGGGTGACGTACGACCGAAAGAGCCAACGCAATGCTTGTGATCCTGCTACCACAGGAGAATGTTATTTTAATTGTCTACAATGAAGACCACATGCCTAATCGATTAGTCCAGAAGTGAAAGCATGGAGCTCAGACTGAGTTAATCTTTTAAGGGCACTTTAAGGACTCATGAAGCCAGTGCTTATGTCAAGCAGACGGACTGGAGCTGCCATCTCTGTGCGTCAGCACTGCAATATGTTGGATGGCAGAGTATCTACCCATGTGACTTGTACAGGATCATAAAATCCGCTTATGGCACCTGATTTCTATTTGGGTACAGCATGTTAATATACTGTGTAGTCTAAGACTTGACTGATGTATAATATATATTTACTATGGATTTAACGATGGAGGGAATGGTACGGTCACTGAGCGGAACACATGCCTGCAGGTCAGAGCATGTCCACCTTGTTGTCAAAATGTAGTTTTCTCTTGAAATACTTTGGTAATGACTCTGCCTGTTTCACAGCAGGCAGTATTGTTCAATGATTTTTGTAAAAGGTTACAGTTCTTAATTTGTATGAAGTCTTTCTGTTGGATTTTTCAGAATAAACAGTTTGACAATCTCAGCGTTCTCCTTTATTCCAATTCCTGGTGACTCAAATAACGCCTTTACTTAATACAAAATAAAGAGAACCAGTCATGTCCAAGCTTATGCAAGAATTTTAATATGAATTCATGAACGATTATAAATGTGCATACTTACATTGAAATGTTTTCTTACTTGTGTCCTTATCTAGCTTCACTGTCATTGTCAGAGGATGGCTATGAGGCTGAGATAAGAATACAACTGCACTATATATATTTATAGGTACCTTAAGTCTGACGGTTGCTTACATGTCAAGTGACTAATCTATTACACTGAGGTTGATTTGCTGAAGGCAAATCGGCTGTTCACTTTACAAGGGAATTGGAATTTTTCCTTTGCCTAGTGAATGAAGTGAAAGTTCACTTTGCAAAGAATAGCCAATTGTGTGCAAGGAAAATACAAATTTAGAGTGTCTCGGTTCCATTTTATTTTTGCGCATCTTTACGCAGCACAAAAATACAGCTCCATACGCTGCTATGTGTATGGAGCTATTTGCATATGGGGAAAAAACGCTGCACGCATCTATGCGCAGCGTATTATATAGCAGTGTGAATGAGGCCTAAGCCACAACTTTTTTATTTAGCTTTAGGAGCAAAGAGATGCTATGTTGGCTAACAGTCCTAATGAACCATTTTTTAAACAGAAATAGCTACTGTTATTTTCTTTAAAAGTAAGTTCTCCTCAGAGAAATACATGGGTTACCATTGCTGGGCATCTAAAAATGCTAGTTGCCTGTTTTTTTTCTGGACCCACACCAGAGGAGCAACTTCACAGCCAGGCAGCAGTCGTTTTCCAAAGATCAGTAATGGCAATTCATGTATTTCTATCACAACTTTATCAAGTCTTTTATTTGGAATATGGTGGGTATTTGTTTTGGCCTCTGAAGGCAAAATTTGAGCCCCCACCACCCGTGACCACCCAACAAAGCAGTACAACTTGTATGAATTCTGAGGTACAAACATAATATACACTGCAGTGTAACCATTTTAACGTGATCCTGGCCCTTGTAGTTTGTTTGCATAGATTTAGCTGGATAAGCAAATCAAGTCGGTCAATGTAGGACATCATGCAAATATTGTGCCTATTGTATTACAAGTGTTTAGATGACATGATTGTCCATGAGTTGCAACTTGCTAAAAGTTTTATGTAGAAGTCATGCCATCAGGATAAGACATTGTTCACTTATAACATTTGAGACAGAGAACTATAAAATCATCTTCTAAAATCAGGAGTTTTGATTTTCTTGTCCTTTATGCTTAAGCTGGCCATACACCTTACAACCATCGCACGACTTTCATCCTGCGATGGTTGTAAGGTAATTAAAAGCTTGTACGATCTGCCCATCTTGGACAGGCAGATCGTACTTGCGATCATCGCAAGCCCTCCCTGCTGAGTGGAGGGCTTCCGATGATTCCAATGCTGAGCGGGCAGTGTGCGCTTGCGTACACCGCCCCGTGCGGCATTTGTCTCCCGAGAATGCCACTAACCCGCCGGGTTTTCAAGCCTGCTCGGGAGACAAAAGACGTGCAACCTTACAGTAGAAACAGTCGCACACCTGCCGATTATCGTACGCTCGCGGAATCACCCGCTATTATCGTACAGGTGTATGGGCACCTTTAGAAAGATGCAGCCTAGCAGGAGCAATCTCTGCTTTTGTTGGTCATATAGTTAAGTCATTAAGCCCAGAGGTCAAGCAATTAGGTCTCATTCACGCTTGCAAACAGTCTGTGTCCAGGTGAGGTCATCCATCGGTAGATGCAGCATGTTTAATTACATGCAAAGGGCCTGCAAACAGCTGGGGGCAGCCATCATTGCATTGTACATGGCCTCCCATCTGTAACTGATCACGTGAGTCTCATGGAGGAGCGATCTGGCCTCATTCACAAGTGTGAATGGTGCCTTACACTGAGTGGCCAGATTATTATGACCACCCCATCAGTACTTCGTTCGGACATGAGATGTTGAAAGGTGATGCGAGGAATCTTGACACTGCACTGTTGCCCTTCTGTTGTCTTGTACCAGTCTTGCCACTCTCCGTTCTACCCTAACATTGACTAGTCGCTGACGGCCACAATTCGCACGTTCAGACCCAGATTTTCGGCTGACAGTCCAGTCTTTAACACTTTAACAACAGCTGCTCTTGAACATTTAACACATTCTGCTGTTTTGCTGATACTCGCTCCATGGCTCCGAGCGCCAACAATCATCCCACAATCAAAGGCTGTTAAATCGCGTTGTTTACCCATATCTTCAGAAAACAAATCACTTCTACTGTCGTGGTAAACAACCTGCTTCCCTATTTATGATGGTCTGGCCCTCCCTTCAACTTCAGCGCAAAATTATAGCTAATTTGCCTACAAACGTCAGGTGGTCATAATAATCTTTCCACTTAGTGTACAGTGGGATACAGAGTGCCAATTATCTACAGATCTCTCTAGTCTATAAGCCTCCTATGTTTTGTGTATATTGTAAATGTTTTTAATGTGCTAAAAAAAACTGCATTGGGTGGGAATGGGCCCTAAAAATACATTTTTTTTTTAAATTTCAAATATATACAAGACCATTAAAAGGCCAATAGCCTTTTTATCCCAAGGACTTTGCAAATGGCAAAGTAACATGTTTGCTTGTGGAAGAAGACTTAACACTCAGTGGGTGTTCCATGGGTAAGCTGAAGGTGCCCATACACTGCTTGATTCTCGTACGAGAATCGAGCAGTGTGAACGAAGACGTGCGACCGTTTCTACTGTACGGTCGCATGTCTTTTGTCTAAGGAGCACGCTAGAAAACCAGTACGATTCGTAAATCGTACGATTTTCGGCTGGTTTAAACGGTGCTCGGGAGACAAATGCCGATCGGGCCGGTGTGCGCACGCGCACACTGCCCGTTCAGCATTGCGGTCATCGGAAGCCCGCCCCTCAGGTGGGCGGGCTTGCGATGATCGAGAGTATGATCTGCTTGTCCAAGATAGGCAGATCGTACGTTTTTTTAATCACTTTACAACCATCGCAAGACTAAGGTCTTGCGATGGTTGTACAGTGTATGGCCACCTTAAGGAATACATGAGGCAAAATTCAGAAGGGGAATGGATGTTTGTATTCCAACTAATAAAAGCGGTAATAACTGTAGACTAATATGGTAGTATTTCCATCCAGGGAGTTGCGTCGGATCGGCCTTGTGGCATCAGGAAGGAAGTTTCTCCTATAGGACAACAGTTGCCCAGTAGGACTTGTGCCTTCCTCTTGGCCAAAACTGCAACTGTTGTGACAGCTTGAACTTTCTAGATATAAGGCTTTTCTCAGGGCTCGTTCACGTTTAGCAGCATCTAGGTGCACTTAGCATTCCCTCCCTTAGACCAGGGGTGGGCCACTCCAGCCCTCCAGCTGTTGTGGAACTACAAGTCCCATGAGCCATTTCAAGACTGACAATTAAAAGGCATGACTTCCAGAGGGAGAGGCATGTTGGGATCTGTAATTAAAGCACATCTGGAGAGCTGAAGTTGCTCACCCTTGTCTTAGACAAACAATTTTCTTCATCCTGGGACCGTTGAGCCTGGTTTTATTTAGTGTAAATGCAACTAAACACAGGAAAAAGTGATCTGGGAAGCGTAATAGTTATTTATACTTCCCGGATAACTTCTGTGTTTGAGGCCCCATGCACATGGGCTTCCTGCAATAAATACAGGAGAGGTTATCTAGGAAGCATAGGGCCACATGTCTTTGTAATCCAGGGAGGGTGGGAGTATCTGGGTGGGTGAGAGGGTTGCAGGTTATGGTGGGCCAGTCTGACCCTGGCAGGAGAGCCGGCAGGATTGTAGCTGTGTCCATTATTCTTCTGCATTGATCCACCCAGCATACATGTCCATCATCTCCAGCACTGTGACATCTATACCCAGCAACATTTACCCACAATGCTTTAGCAGTTATCGGTAAAGAATGCAATAAAACTGTTATTTGTGGTTTATTTCAAAGCCAGGTCGGGTTTTGGCAAGTGAAGAAAAATCTGCAACACTGACAAGGAGAGCAATTAAAACCCAACAGGGGCTCCAATCCTTCCCCATTCTGTTCAAAACAAAAACACATTTTTTTCCACCCTCTGAAATAAAGATTTTGTCATAGATAATACATAAAAGTTAGATTTTTAACATTCAAACGTAAGCTAACAACGGCTATAACATTGCTCTAAAACCATTCTGGCCTCTTCCTTTCCTGTGCTCATAGTTAGTGGTTCCAGAAGCAATGTTGGCTATTGGGCTATACTGATTAGCACCATTCGACCTATTTTCCTTAAGCCTTTTGAAATTGGTTTTTAAAGTACTGTATTGTCGATA